TACTTTGCAATAATAGTGCAAGTAGTAAAGTGACGAGACCCGTATGTCGTGACGTCGAAGATTGAACGTGCAGTTAAATTGACAAAATTCTGCGATGTGTAGCGGCGTGACATTTAATTGCGTGTGTAATACCAAAGATGGAAACTTATTTCATTTCAATCAAAAGAGACAAAGAAGATACCGCGTGGCCACGAAACGTCCAGGTCGGTAGCTGTAGTGGTTTCAGAAAAGTGTATACATTTAAAACGTTTTTTTCACCGTCGAAATTAAGCAGGAAGATTGAACGTGCAGTTAAATTGACAAAGTTCTGCGATGTGTAGCGGCGTGACATTTAATTGCGTGTGTAATACCAAAGATGGAAACTTATTTCATTTCAATCAAAAGAGACAAAGAAGATACCGCGTGGCCACGAAACGTCCAGGTCGGTAGCTGTAGTGGTTTCAGAAAAGTGTATACATTTAAAACGTTTTTTTCACCGTCGAAATTAAGCAGGAATTCTTTATTTTGTACTTTGATTAATGAACTGTTTTAGGTGCTTCGTGTTAATTAATCAAGTAGAATTTAAAAGGGTAGAGGCTTAGCGGGAAAAACTTGTATCTTGATATTATATAGGCGGAACTAGAACACTCGTAATGTTAGGGATAAGAATTGAATAGCTTGGAAAAGTTAGGTGAAACTGTGGACACAATCAGTAAGTGTATTGTTAGGAACAATAACGGTTGTTAAAAAAACAAGTCGTGTATTTAACAAAGAATATATTATTCGTAAGACTTGTTGAAAACATAAAATTTGTCAGCACATTAGTTTCTACAGGTTAGTGCAGCAAGTCACGGAGTGGTTTCACTTTTAGTCTAATTAAGTCCTAAGGCCAGGTTCTACAGGTTAGTGCAGCAAGTCACGGAGTGGTTTCACTTTTAGTCTAATTAAGTCCTAAGGCCAGGTTCGTGCATATATTATTTCTTTATTCTGTATATAATTAAAAAATTCATGAATTTGCAGAGTGACTAAACTGTGACTATATTAGTCACAATCTCAAGTTGAATGAGTACTAAGCCTAGGATGAGAGTATTTCTTAAAAAATGAAACTATTCAGTTTTTTCCCCCCTTGAACTCTGTAGTTGAGATTTTGTTTATAATTAATTTCAAATTCTCATAAGTTTTTTCCCCCTTGAACTCTGTAGTTGAGATTTTGTTTATAATTAATTTCAAATTCTCATAAGTTTTTTCCCCCTTGAACTGTAGTTGATATTTTGTTTATAATTAATTTCAAATTCTCATAAGTTTTTTCCCCCTTGAACTCTGTAGTTGAGATTTTGTTTATAATTAATTTCAAATTCTCATAAGTTTTAAAAAAAACAACTTTAACAGTAGATACTTAGCCTAGAGTAAAAGTCAACAAACTATGCAACTTGTCAACTCATTTTTTTCTCATGAATTCTGTAGTTGACATTTTATATTTAAATTCGAATATTTCTAAGTTTAACATATTTTGGTTTCAGTATAGTGACCTGTCTTTCTACCATGAGTTTTTTTTTTAATTTGCAGGCTCCTGGTTGGTCAAGAAACGTACCAATGAGTGTTAATCAGTCAGATTCAAGAATGGCATCCCCTACTCTTTCTCTGCCAGATTCAACCGCTTGTAGTTCTGCATCAGATCACAGCCTGGAGGAAAGTGTCTCCACTAAGTGCCCTCTCTGTCAAGATACTTACACCATTCCCAAAGTGTTGCCTTGTCTTCATACATTCTGTCAACCTTGCCTTGAGAAAATCCAGGAATCTCCAGATAAGATTAAGTGTCCTCAGTGTCATGAAGAGTTTTTACTGACCACTCAAGGTGTAGCAGGCCTTTTGTCTAATTATGCTGTGAGCAATATTCTCGAGACCAATGCTATGAATGTAACATCTCTTTGTTGTACTGGCTGTAAAACTAAAGAAAGCAATGCAGTGGCACGTTGTTTTGACTGTGCCAACTTCTTGTGTTCAAACTGCGTGATGGCACATCAGTTTATGCATTGCTTTGGAGGACATAGAGTTCTCACCTTGGGAGAACTGCAGAATAATAAGGATGATACCAAGACCGAGAAACCTATCTTTTGCTCACGTCATAAACATATAGCTGTGGAATTTTTCTGCCAGACTTGTAGTGTCCTTATTTGCAAAGACTGCATTGTCATGGATCATCCACAGGGGATACATAACTTCGAACACTTGACAGAGATTGGACACAAACAAGTTGACTATATGAACTGTTTGGTTGAAGATTCTAAGCTGAAAAAAACAGATTTACGGAATATTTTGAAAACAATTGAGCACTCTACTAGTAACGTTCAAGCCCAGTATGAAAAAGCCAAGAATGAAATTAAGGATACCTACCAGTTTTATTGTGTTGTGTTAGAAGAAAGGAAGAGGGAGATTCTGAAAGAGTTGGATGAGATCTTCAACTCCAAAGTGGTTTCTCTTTCGATGCTTGGTCAGAAAGTTCAGGAGAACATAGAGAAAACTCTTGAAATGTGTGACTTTGTGGAAAAACTCATGAAATACTCTAGCAATACAGAAATTCTTGTATTTAAGCAGTTGCTGACATCCAAATTTCAGAATATCCTTGGATTTAACCCAGCAATGGGGTTAAATGTATCTGATCTTGAATTTGTATCAAATTACCAGGCTATCCAAGTTGGGGTGCGAAACAGTTTTGGATATCTTCGACAGAATTCTGACATTCTCTCAGAGGTCAAACCACAGCCTATAGCAAGACCAAATGGAGTAATTGGATCAGAACGATCTTACAAAAATGGCCACATGTGCGAGTCGAACATTATTTCAAAGAGATTTGGCTCTGTTAATACTTTTAGTCCTTTTCTGGGAGATCTCAATTCTTATGAGAAATGGTCAAGTGCCCCTAGCGACATTTTTCAAAATGGTTCTGATACCTTTTCCATTTCAAGTGACCCCGTTTTTGACTTATCATCGAAATTGGTTAATTCAAATATCTTTCCTTTAAAATCCCAAATAAAGCGTCAGAAGATGATTTACCATTGCAAGTTTGGGGAGTTTGGAGTAATGGAGGGTCAGTTTACAGAACCAAGTGGTGTAGCTGTGAATGCTCAGAGTGATATCATAGTAGCCGACACCAATAACCACAGGATCCAGATCTTTGACAAAGAAGGTCGGTTCAAGTTTCAGTTTGGAGAATGTGGGAAACGAGATGGGCAGTTGCTGTATCCCAACAGAGTTGCAGTTGTAAAGGCCTCTGGGGATATAATAGTTACCGAGAGAAGCCCAACACATCAGATCCAGATATAT